GGTGTTGATAGAATCAAACAGACAATATCTAAGATAACTAGCTGTCACATTATACAAATATTTGAACTGGGAATTAAGGGACAGAGCTTTTGAAACCTTAAAAGTAAAAATTTACATACTTGAACATTTTTTCCAGCTTTACCCCTTTCACGTAAACTTCCTATAAGTATGCTTTTATATATTCCTGGTTGTACAGCTCATTATTATAGAACAGAATTTTCAGATTTCTTTTTAAAAATATGCTTTTTTTTGGTCATATGCATCATAGATATGCCACCAATAAAAGATATTTTGTAAAATATTCCATGTTTTCAACAGGCCCTCAGGGTGTGAAAGGGTCCCCTGGTACTCCCGGAGTTCCTGGACAACCTGGCTCCCCAGGATTACCTGGACAGAAAGGGGAAAAAGGTGATCCTGGTGTTTCAGCCATTGGTCTTCCAGGTCTTCCTGGCACAAAGGTAATCCTACTCTAGACATATGCCTGAGCAGATGTGAGTTTTCTTTAATACTGTGCTTATTCTTAATTCTTCATTAAATAAACTATAGACCAGTGGTTCTCAACCTTCCTAATGCAGCAATCCTTTAATACAGTTCCTCATGTTGTGATGACTCCCAACCATAAAATTATTTTCATTGCTATTTCATAACTGTAATTTTGCTACTGTTATGTCTTAGGCGACCCCTGTGAAAGGGTCTTTTGAACCCCAAAGGGTTTGCAACCCACAGGTTGAGAACCGCTGCTATAGACTGACTTGGTATATTCTGGGCAAGAAATTCATTCCTTCTCTTTTTTTTCTTAATTATAAGGAGATATGTTTTAGGGTTTACAGCCAGTCCAAAAAAGTGGGATAACTTCTGATTTTTCCCCTTTATCTTAATGTCTTTGTATGTTTCAGTAAACCAAAGTCATATTTCTGCCTACTTTTGGTTTTCTTTTCCCTTTTTAGTGATAGGGTTGTTGGATTTGGTCTAAATGTTATTATTAACTAATGTGAAGAGATTTATGAACAAAATAACTTAGGCAATTAATAAAAGCTCAGTGCTATTCTTAACTGTATATCTGAGGTAGTTCTCCAAAAACGGTTTTCCATAACCCTCTATGGCCCTAGTCAATGAGAAAACTTTGGTGGGGTTTCTCAAGCAATCCGATTTAGAACTTGTTTTAGAATCGTGAACTCAATAAATATTTGATAACTGCATAATTCCATGTAAAAAGATAATAACTTACTGATTTGTAGAAGTACCTTAAAACTAGCAAAGTTACATCCATTGTCTACTATATGTATTGCAAGTATTTGCTCCCAGTCAGTTGTTTGTCTTATAACTTTGTTTAATCATTCAGTCAGACCACAAAGTTAAGGAGTTTTATAAAAGGAATTGTGTTATTCAACTTCCATGGAATTAGTGAAAATTCCCAATAAGATACAAATTTATTGAATGATATTTTTTAAATAATTTCTTTTTAATAGTGTACAAATACTATAATTTGACCAGTGGCTTGACTTATAGTAAAATGCATATTAATGGTGTAAATTTAATTGAAGTGAATCTTAATTTTTTTGTTTAACTTAAATTTTACCAATAAAACTTGAATATATATTTTTATTTAAAGTAATAATACAGACACATCAAGGATAAAATTGAAATAGCCTTCATTAAATATCTTCTTTATTCAATACCCATTTTCATAGAGATCTATTAATAGCTGGTGTGTGAATTTGAATTCCTTAATATTCACACACAGAGAGAATTTTGTTTTCTCTATGCATTGTATTTATGTAGAATCATAAAATGCATACTTCTGTACGTTGCTTAATCACATATCTTTTAATCTTTCTTTGTTCAATATATCATAAAGAACTTTTTGTCATTGTACATTATTTTAATGGCTATATACTATATTCTTATTAAAAATAATATAATAATGAACATATTACACATATCTGTGTACACATGTTACTATTATTTGTAAAACTGTATAAATACCTAAAAGTGAAATTGCTGGGTCAAAAGATAAATGCATTTCATTTTTTTGTCTTACCAAGTTTTTATATTAATAGTAAGAAATGCACTTGATTTTGAAAATCAATCGAACAGTATTTAATGGTGTAAATGAGAAGTCTCTCACACATTTACATATGCCAAATATACAGTTCTTCCCCAAGGTAACCAATTTTAGTAGTTCCTCATGTACTTGTTCAGAATTTTTTATACATACATATGTGTGTATATTGTATCATTTTTAAGACTCAATTTTTATATTTAAAAATCTGTAATATTGGAAAACACCTGACAATTATAATTGGAAGCACGTTTTAATGTTATCAATATCTGAAGTGATGCTGCATCTTACCAATGTATGTATCTAACATTTTTATTTATAGATATGAACTCTGAATTTAGCTATCATAACTTACTAAATCTTAGCTAACTTTTCTTATCAGCCCATAAATATATGCCTCATTGTCTTTCACTATTACACAGTATTTTTGTGTAAGTCAACCATAAATAATGTAACTTGTTATTAGTACTGAAAGTATTTCTATATTTTCATGATTACAAACATGTGTTGCATATGATATAATTCTTATCCATATTTACATACATATTGTAATATTGTTAGGTAAATATCGTCGTAAACTAAATCCTGGGTAGAATTGCTGGAACCCAGCATATATATGCCTTTTTAATATTGATAGTTACTGACACATTTTTCTTTTATATAGCTCTACCACTTGATCAGAAAATTTTCTATTTTCTCCTTATTTTATAAATGTTAATTTTTATTCAGTCTCTCTAATTTTGTTAATCTAATGGGTGAGAAGTAGTATATCACTGTTTAAACTTGAATTTTCCTGATTACAAATGAGATTATTTTTTTTAATTTCAACTTTTTTAATACTGATGAAAGGCATGTGTAGTTCATATAAACCATATTTATGTGAACAGTAGCAGATTCTTCATATAAATTATCACTTTGATACACATGTCTTATAGTCTATGAGAAAAGAGAAGGAACAATATATCAGTTTTGCTACATCTTAATAGTAGATTTTTTGAGGGGTAATTTTTTAGGTCTTGTCAGCGACATCAAACAAAAGGTACCGAGTGCCCTGTAGGGTACAGTGCTGCCAAGCACCTCAAAATTGACATGATGTGGAGAAAATATGGTTCTTGCCCCTTGGGAGCTTAAAGTCTGGTGGGCTGACAACTCACAGTCTAAGTGTTGAGTGAACAACAAAGTTATTTAAGGCAATTTCTCATCCCCTCCAGCTACTGTGCACTGACTCATCTTGGAATTAATCTAATCAAGACAAGAGACAAGACTAAATATGGTTGAGAATTCTTTCAGGCTCATAAAGTTTCTGAAACAGAATTAACCTAACAGACAATTGAAATGAAAGACTAGACCTCTTGAAGTGCAAGGGCTAGGACAACTTAATTGTGGTTACTTACCTTAAAAAGTAAACATATTGAACAGTATGATGGGTTATTACACTATTTAAACATAAACCAAGTACTGGCGCCCCATTCTCCTCATGCTAGCATTGGTCATTGAAAGTAGTAAATATTACATATGTGGTTTCTACATCTAACCCACAGAAGGCCCACCCCAGATCTTAATGTTCTGTGTATCAAGTAGCCACCTCATGTGTACTATGAAAATTTTATTTATGCCCCATTAAATCAAAAGTAATATAAATAGTCAAATTATAATAAGCTGATGACCTGCATATTTTCATATGGATAAATATTGATATATCTAAACAGGAAGTAAATGGCAATCCTATCTACCTATATAAAAAAAAATAGAGTATCTTCAAATTTTACGTACTCATTGTTATAAAAAGAAGTATGCAGGCTTTTAGGTTTCACAATCAGTTGTCAGAAAAACAGCAATTATTCCTGCAGTATCTTTTTTTTTAATCCTCACCCAAGGATATTTTTCTATTTATCTTAAGCTAGAGTGGGAGAGAGAGGGAGAAAAATGGGGAGAGAGAGAGAAACATCGACACGAGAGGGACACAGTGACTGGTCGCCTCCCAAGCATCCCGGACCAGGGCTGGGAACAAACCGCAACCAAGGAATGTGCCCTTGACTAGAATTAAGCCTGCGACTCATTGGTCCATGGGCCGATGCTCTACCACTGAGCCAAACTGGCTGGGGCCCTGCAGAATTTTGTTAGCATCTAACTCAAATTATTTTTAGATTACATGGTTTGGAAGACATTATTAACCCATCTAACAATTTGTAATTATTCTGAGATGGTTTCATGTTAACCCGAGAATTGCTATTGGAAAGAGTAACCGTGTGGTATAGAAGAACCAGAAAATCAACATGACTAAAAATATGCTCCCTTTCAGGAACAATCTGGTCATCTGGCAAAATCACAGCTACAACCTGGGAACACTTCCATATGGATACTTATCTGGCCAAGGCACACTCTAATCAGGGTGAATTTAGGTCATCTCTGAGGAGAAGCCTTGAAATTTTCTTCTTGGATAGGATTACTGATTCAAGCCCTCTCAGAGCAGTTTTATTCTATCCTACCCACATCGGCCCAAAGTTTGACATTAAGTAAAAAAAAAAAAAAAAAAACAAGAGCATAGTGGAGCAGAAGTGAACAGATGTATAAATTCTAGTACATTCTTATTTCTGTTGTAAGTTTGAGGATAAGCACATCTTACCCACAACAATGTTGTTCCAGGGAGCAGGACAGTAGTGATAAATTAGAAAAGAGATTATTAATTGTACAATCAATAAAAAAGTAAAAGCATGTTTCAAAACCTTCAGTAAGCCTGTATCCAAAGGAGTCTTGCACGTTAGTGATGTTTTGGACATGGAACTTTATGCTACAGCTTGGCAGTGGACTCACACTTGTCTACTGGCATGGTACTGGCTTGTTTCTGCCTATTGAAAGGTGAATGTTCTACACAGATCTACAGTGGTGTCTAATGAGTGGGAAAATTCAAAGAAGTTCCAGGTTATTCATGTCAGGGTCATTCCTTGTACAAAGTTTGATGTAGATGAAGATAAAGTGGTTTCTTGGTCAGTAATTGTAGTTTCTTTCTTTTAAAATCAGTGGGTTTCTTATGTAGTTCTATTACAATGGGCCCAGACTTAACTTCATCCATCTCCATCAAAGCAAAACACTTGGTACTGGTGAATCTTTTCTTAGGCTTATGTGTTTGAATTCAAACAAGATAGCTACATCTTTGGTTAATTTTTCAATATGGTTCTGGAGCTCGATGTCCACATTAAAATGTGGCTTTCCTTGAAGCCACAGGAGTATTTTGCACATAAGTTAAATATATACCATTCAGATCCTTTATACTAACTGTGATATAGGGATCAATGCACTGTCCAGCGTCTTTCAGACCAATTTTTCTCAATTCTGATAGTGAGTAACGTCATCCCTGGTTCTGATGGCAACCTTGTTAATAAAGTAACAGGAACTCTAGCAGGAAATGAATCAGGAAACCCTGCTCCTCCAGCACCACCCTCTTCTTCATCTTCTTCAAATTCCAAATTCTCTTCTTCGACAGGTGCTAAAATCCTTCTTAAGGTGACAGGCTGAACATCAAATGGGAGTTCTTTGTTATATGTAAGCAGATTCTTTAGGATTGGTTCTAGCTTCTTCAGGTCCTCCAGTTTAAATTCTTCTTTAAACTGTGTGGACTATAAAGCTGCACTTCATAATTCTAAGCATGATGCAATTTTGCCTATGGTTCTCTTTTGTTCTTCTGTGAATTCAGAATTATTGTGTTGAGATTGGCCTTCTTTTTATAGATAGATGTCTTGCTAATCTTGAAACCAAAGAAAGACAGAAAATCCATTTTGGCATTGAGAATCAACCGTATGAAGAGATTCATGGAATCCCCTTGCCTGCACCTCCACTGGCATTGGGGGACTTCTAGTTGGCAAATGAGATTGCTTGTTTATATCTTCTCTGCAAATTGTCTGTTCATACTCTGCCTCATTTTTGAGGAGGGGATTTGGTTATATATTTTCTACTGATTTGTAGAAGTACTTTATAAATAGCAAAGATGCATCCATTATCTACTTTATGTATTGCACATATTTTCTCCCAGTAAGTTGTCTTATAACATTGTTTACTGTTCATTTCATCATGTAGAAGTTTAAAATTTTTACATAGGTAAACTTTGTACTCATTTATTATTGAAAAAAATCTATTGAATATGTACAATGTGCCAGGTACTGTTTTAAGTGCTGGAGATAGAGCGTGAATGAAATAAATTCACTGCCTGCATGGATCATACATCTAGTCAATAAAAAAATAATAAGTTTATAGTATGTTAGAAGGTATAGCAAAATTAAAGTGAGGCTTGTGAATAGGAATTGCTGAGAATTGCTACATTTTGAAATAGGGAAGTAAGGGAAAGCTTCTCTGATAATAGTTGATCTAGTGACCTCATACAATGAGGGAATCATTCAAAGACTGAGGTGCGAGTACACCTGACATGTCTTAGGAACATAAATGAGGTTAGTGTGGATTAAGCAGAGGGTGGGAGATCAGATTTGTAATGGGGGATAGACTATCTAGGTCCTCATAGATTATAACAAGGGCTTTTACTACTGAGTGAAATGGGGAGAAGTGAAAGTAACATGATTGTAATTTAATTTTTAAAAAATCTAATTTTTAAATTCTACGGCTCTCATTTTGGAAATAGATCATAGAGGAATATGGATGAAAACAGTGAGACCAGTTATGGCACTATTTAAATAATACAGAATAGAAATATTGATGGCTTGGACCAGGGTGGTCGTACTAGAAATAAGAAATAGTTAGAATCTGAATATATATTTTTAGGTCAAGCCAGCATGATTTCCTTATGGAATATGAGAAAAAGAAGTATATTAAGAATGAATCTAAAATTTTTATCTTGAGCAACTTGAAGAATGTAGTTGCTACATAATGAGACAAGAAAGATTTTGGGAGAAGCAGATTTGTTGGGAAAGATCAGGGGCATAGTTTTCTGTTATGAAGACTTTTACATCCTAAGATTATAAAATTGACCTATATATTTTTTCAGTACTTTCATGATTTTTGTTCTTTATATTAACATCTTTAATCTGTCTAATTTTTTCTGTATGTTGTGTGAGGCAAAACTTCATTTTTTACTCATTGATTTGACATGCCATTTTATTTTATTTATTTATTTACTTTTTATTGTTTGAAGAGCTAGGAATACCTCTTAACTCTCTCTCTTTTTTTTTTATCCTCACCTGAAGACATTTTTGCATTTATCTTCAGACAGAGTGGGAGGGAAGAGTGAGAGTGAAACATCCTTGTGAGAGAGACACATCGAGTGGTTGCCACCCACACGACCCCTACCGGGGCCGGGGACAAACTGCAACCGAGGTACGTGCCCTTAGCGGGAACCAAACCCAGGACTCTCTGGACTGCAGGCCATTACTCTAACCGCTGAGCCAAACTGGCCGGGGCTGAAATGCTATTTCAAAATATTTCTAAATTTGTTCATATATATTTTCTTCTGGACTGAGTGAATTTTAACATTAATATAAAGGAACCCAGGTTCCCATAATAACTAATTTCTGAAATTGTAATGAACGGCAGCAGAAAATGCTTCAATTGGCAAATATCCTCAGTATATTCAACTCTTCAAGAAAGAGGCTAGCTTTTAGATTTTCTACGCAGGCTACAAGTATATTTCAGTAAGCAAATTCTACACTAAATTTGAATACTTGAAAAGCTGATAAAACATGGAAATTATGTATTTGAAGTAGACTACTGTTTTTTTCAAATGGTATTTATTTTATCTTAGAATGGTGACACATTGAAAAAATAAGATTTCATAGCTCAGTTACATTAGGCACAAGCAGTCCTTGCTTTGTACATTTTCTGATATGCACAAATTTGTTACCACATTTTAGTTAAATAATATCACTCCACAACAACAGGATTCAAATTTTAGGTACCATGGTATATTAGCTCTTCAATCCATGAGTCACTATGTAAATAACAGCTCTGCATCAGGATCAGTGAACAATCATTTCACTTCTTCCTAATTCTTTGTGATAGTCACTATAAATCTGTTATTCCCTTTGTACCAACAGCAAAGAATGCAGTCGTGCTTCTTCTTTCTCTCATTGATAAACCCATGTGACATTTAACAAAAAAATGATAACACTGGAAGTGAAACTTAAATCTAATATGAATGTAGTTATAGATGAAGTAGCTAACCATAAGAATATTGACTGCAGCCATTTCAGAAACTAGATGTGCAGCTAAGGAAGTTAGTAAAGGTGAACTTACCAACAACATATGACTTTTCTCAATACAGTTATAACAAAAATCCAAACGTATTTTAATGTATTGAGAAAATGTTTTAAAGGTCATAGATCATATTTTTCCTACTGACTAGTTATATCTTTTTACATGGTGTCAGCTTGTATTTTTGCTTTTATAAAGCCACACTACCGTGCAAAACAAGAAGTGCCTATATTATAAAGGAGGAGTAGAATAAAATTTTCAGGAAACATAATAGTATGATTAGGGAATGGCAAACACAAGAAAAAAAACTATAATTATTGAGTTGTTAAACTATAATAAGGCATAAAGGAGATAAATAGTGATGAAAAAAATAAACTTAAGCAAAAGAAATATGGATAGTGATAAAAGGTCAGATGAGGACTTATTTTACAAATGTCACAGTTTATGAGGCATCACCTCACACCTGTCAGAATGGCTGCCATCAACAAATCATCAAACAACAAGTGTTGGCGAGGGTGTGGAGAAAGGGGACTCTAGTGTACTGCTGGTGGGAATGCAGACTGGTGAAGCCACTATGGAAAACAATATGGTGTTACCTCAAAAAATTAAAAATTGGTCTTCCATTTGACCCAGTGATCCCACTTCTAGGAATATACCCTAAGAAGCCTAAAACACCAATCAGAAAGAATATATGTACCTCCATGTTTGTAGCAGCACTATTTACAATAGCTAAGATCTGGAAACAGCCCAAGTGTCCATCAGTAGATGAATGGATAAAGAAGCTGTGGTACATATACACAATGGAGTACTATGCAGCTGTAAGAAAGAAAGATCTCTTATCCTTTGAGACTACATGGAGGGACCTGGAAAGTATCATCCTAAGTGAAACAAGCCAAACAGAGAAAGACAAGTTTCATATGATCTCACTTATTTGTGGAATATAATGAACATAACAGTCTGAGGAATGGGGTAGTCCCAGAAATGTGGAAGTGGGGTACAGGCTGACAATCCCCTAAAGAGGGGGGTGGTGGGGGGGAGATAAACCACAGAACTTATATGCATGTATGCATGAACAGTGAACATGGACAGCAAACTGGGGACAGGGCAGGGAGGGAGGGGGAGGGGGGAATCAGTGGGGAAAAAAGGAGAAACATCTGTAACAAAAATTAATAAAAATATATATATAATAAAAAAACAAATGTCACAGTTTACAAGTATAATTAGTCAAAAAAGTATCATTAATATAGTACAGTAAAAACATTAGACAAGAAATAATTACTTTGAAATTTGAGTGCTGAGTCTAATTGACCGTGTAAGTCATTTATTTAATTTGTGTCTTCATTACATTATCAGTAAAACAGAATAATTATCTTACCTAATGCACAGAGTTATTGCACGCCTTCAATTAGTATTTTGTTCAGAATTTTGGCATCTATGTTCATCAGGGATATAGCCCTATAGTTTTCTTTCTTTGTAGTGTCTTTTTCTGGTTTTGGAATTAGAATTATGCTGGCCTCATAAAACGAGATTGGAAGTCTTCCTTCTTGAATTTTTTGAAGTAGTTTGAGGAGAATGGGTGTTAGTTCCTCTTTGAATGTTTGGTAAAATTCACCCGTGAAGCCATCCGGGCCTGGGCTTTTGTTTGCTGGGAGAGTCTTGATTACCTCTTCAATTTCCTTAGTTGTTATTGGTCTGTTCAAGTTTTCTATCTCTTCCCGGTTCAGTTTTGGGAGACTATGTGTTTCTAGAAATTTGTTTATTTCGCTTAGATTGTCAAATTTGTTGCCATATAATTGTTCATAGTATTTTTAGAGAATCCTTTGTATTTCTGTGGTGTCAGTTGTTACTTCTCTTTTATTTCTGATTTTGTGTGTTTGGGTTCTCTCTCTCTGTTTCTTGGTGAGTCTGGCTAAGAGTCCATCAATCTTGTTTATCTTTTCGAAAAACCAGCTCTTTGTTTCATTGATCCTTTGAATTGTTTTTTTTTTTTTTTTTTTTTTTTTTTTTGGTCTCTATGTCTTTTATTTCTGCTCTGATCTTTACTATTTCTTTCCTTCTACTTTTTCTGTTATTTTCTTTTTGTTTGCTTTGTAGTTCTTTAAGTTGTGAGGTTAGAAAGTGTATTACAAATGTTTTCTTGTTTTTTGAGCTAGGCCTGTACTGCTCTTAACTTCCCTCTCAAAATTGCTTTTGCTGCATCCCGTAGATTTTATGGTGTTGTCTTCATTTTCATTGGTTTCCAGGAAGTTTTTAATTTCTTCTTTGATCTACTCAGTAACCCATTCATTGTTTAATAGCATGCTATTTAGCCTTCATGTCTTTAAATGTCTTTGCATATTTTTGTTGCAATTGATGTCTAGTTTCATACCATTGTGATCTAGAAAATACTTAATATGATTTTAATCATCTTGAAATTGTAGAAACTTAGTTTGTGTCCTAACAAGTGGTCTGTCTTTGAGAATGTCCCACGTGCACTTGAGAAGAATGTGAATTCTTCCATTTTGGAGTGTAATTTTCTGTATACATCTATTAAATCCATTTTGTCTAGTACTTCATTTAGAGTCTCTGTTTCCTTGTTAATTTTTTTTGTCTAGAGCAGTGGTTCTCAACCTTCCTAATGCTGTGACCCTTTAATACAGTTTTTTGTGATGTGGTGACCCCCAACCATAAAATTATTTTTTTTGCTACTTTATAACTGTAATTTTGTTACTTCTATTCCTTAAGCAACCCCTGTGAAAGGGCTGTTAGACCCCCAAAGGTGTTGCAACCCACAGCTTGAGAACTATTGTTCTAGAGGATCTATCCAGTGATGTCAGCGAGGTGTTGAAGTCCCCTGCTATGATAGGATGGCTGTTAATTTCTCCTTTGAAGTCCTGCAGAAGATTCTTAATATATTTTGGTGCTCCTATATTGGGTGCATATATGTTTACCAAGGTTATATCTTCCTGTTGGGTAGAGACTTTCAGTATTATGTGGTGACCTTCTTTGTCTCTAGGTATGGCCTTCATTTGAAATCTGTTTTATCAGAGATTAGTATTGCTACCTCAGCTTCTTTTTCCTTTCCGTTTGCTTGGAAATTTTTTTTCCATCCATTCACTTTCAACCTATGTGAGTCTTTTGTTGTGAGGTAGATCTCTTGTAAACAACATATATGTGAGTTATGCTTTCTTATCCAGTCAGCTAGTCTGTGTCTTTTTCTCAGAGTATTCGAGCCATTTACATATAACGTGATTATTTATACGTACTTATTTATTGCCATTTTTGTTTAGTGTAGTTATATTTTTTTTCCTATTTCTTCTACTAATTACAGCTGTCCTTTTAACATTTCTTTCAGTACTGGTTTGGTGCTAATGTATTCCCTTGGCCCCACCCTCTTTTTTTTTTTGTCTAAGAAGCTCTTTATTTGACCTTCTATTTTAAATGATCCCCTTGCTGAATAGAGTAGTCTTGGATTCAGATCCTGGTTTTTCATAACCTTGATTGGTTCATGCCATTCCCTTCTGGCCTGTAGTGTTTCTGTTGAGAAGCCATCTTATGGCCTTATGGGGGCTCCTTTGTAGGTAATCTGTTGCTTATCTCTTGCTGCCTTTAGGAGTCTCTCTTTCTCTTTAATTTTTGACATTTTAATTACTATGTGTCTTGTTATGGGGTTGTTTGGGTTCTTCTTACTTGTGGCTCTCTATGCTTCTTGGACTTGAATGCCTTCTTACTTCCTCAAGTTAGGAAAGTTTTCTGTCACTGTTGTTTAAATATATTCTCTAACCCTTGCTCATTTTCTTTCTTTTTTTGGGACTACCATGATGCAAATGTTATTGCGTTTTCAGTTGTCCCACAGTTCTCTTAAGCTGTCCTCCTGTTTTTAAATTGTTTTTTCCTTTTGGTTTTCTGATTGGTTGATTTTTTCCTACCCTGTCTTCTAATATACAGATCCTGTCCTCAGCTTCTTCTACTCTGCTGTTTAGTCCTTCCAATGTGTTCTTAATTTCTGCTATGCCATTCTTCATTTCCACTTGGTTGGTTTTCAATTCTTTTTTATCTTTACACATGGTGTTGATGTCCTTACTTATGCTGTTGAGCTTCCTCAACATCATGGCTCTGAATTCTACCTCTGATAACTTGCTTAACTTCATTTTATTTATCTCATCTTCTTCAGTAGAGGTTTCTTGTTCTGTCATTTGGGATTTGTTTCTTTGTTTCGCCATTTTGGCTATCTCAGTGGGTTTCGGAGCCTGCCAAATTTTCCCTGTGGGTTTTGGTGTTCTACTGTTTGTGGCTCCCTCCACTGGGCTTGGATGTATGTGGGAGGACCCATCTTAAACACCCCTGTCAAGTCTTACTTTCCTGGGTAGATATGCAAGCCCAGGAAAGGTTCAGTTATCCTATAGCTTTTTGCTTGGAGGCTATTAGTCTCAATTACTTGAAGAGCCTTCAGTTCTCAGTTGAATGAAAAAATCCCTCAGGTGTTCAGCATAAGAGGATTTCTAGAGGCTGGGGCAGATGCTGGTTGTTGTTTTTTTATTTTTTTTAAATGTTTTATTTTTTTATATATTTTGTTCAGATAGAGTGGGAGAGAGAGAGAGGGAGAGAGAGAGAGAGAGAGAAACATCGATGTGAAAGGGACACATCAAGTGGTTGCCACCCTCACAACCCAACCAGGGCCGGGGACAAACTGCAACCGAGGTACATGCCCTTAGCGGGAACCGAACCCGGGTCTCTCTGGACCGCAGGCCGATGCTCTAATCACTGAGCAAAACCAGCCAGGGCCAGATGCTGGTTGTTAATAAGCCTCAGTTGGCATTTCAATTGCCCACCTGGGTGGGGTTGAATCTTTCAGGGAGGGGCTGCTGCTTCTCCCCACAGCTCCTAGAAGGATCAAGCTGGCCATCATCCTGTATGGCTGCATCTCAGCAAAAACTGAGTGCCCTCCAAATCTAAGGTGTCCCCACAGACTTCCAGTCCAGTCCTCCCTCCCTTTGCCAGAGCCCAAGGTGAGTGGCTGTGGTTAATTTAATGCTCTGTCTTGTCCCTTTGGATCTGGCTTGGGATTTCAATTCTGAGGGCACTGTTCTCAGTTAAGATCACTGCTATCAGTGGGCTTCCAGCACACCACCCTTTTATGCATCTGCAGACCTACCAGTGTCCCTGTTTATATGGTCATCTCCAGCTGCTTTCTGTTTTTGTTTTGTTTTGTTTTGTTTTTTTTTCCAATGAAATGTCTTTATTTTAGTTGTAATTCCAGTTTGTTTCTGGGAGATCATATGTGTAGCTTCCATTCACTCTGCTGCCATTTTTTCAAGTCTCCATTAATCTTTATTAAAATTTAATTGTACCACAGATTCTAAATAATCTCTATCATAATCCCAGATTGCATTTTTGCTGAATTTGACAAGCAAATCCTAAAATTCATATGAAAATACATGGAAGCCAGAATAGTCAAAACCATCTTGAAAATAAAAGAATGAATTTGGAGGACTCACCCTTCTAGATTTCAAAACATATAAAACTAGAGCAATCTAGATTGTGTAATACTGGCCTAAGACAGACATGAGTATTAATGGAATAGATTACAGTTCCGAAATAAATCTATTATTTTGGGTCAATTGATTTTCAGCAAACATGCTAAGATGATTAACAGAGGAAAGAAAAGTATTTTAAAGAAATGATGCTGGAACAAGAGGATATTTATATGCAAATTAATTAATTTGTACCCCCTAAGTCATATTACACACCAAAATTAACCCATCATGGATAATTGACCTAAATATGAAAGCTAAAACTATTAAAATTTTAGAAGTGAACATGACTAAATCTTCCTGATCTTGGGTTAGGTTAATGAATTTTTAAATACAACACAAAAAGCACAAACAACCAAAGGAGAATATAAATTGGAATATGTTTTTTTTAAATTTGTGTTGCAAATGATAACATCAAGAAAGTAAAAGGACAACCAACAGAAAGGGAGAAAATTTTTGAAAATCATATATCAGAGATTTGTATTCAGAATACATAAAGTACTCTTATATTCCATAAGAAAGCAAATAAACTAATTTTGAAAATGGGCAATGTTAGTTGTAACCTAAAAGACACATACAGAACATTCCATTTTACATCAGCAGTGTATACATTTTTTAGGGAACATGGAACTTTCCACAGAATCCACCATATGTTAGGCCAAGTTCTACTAAAAAATTTGAAGATAAAGGAACACTTCCAAACTTATTCTATGATGCCAGAATTTTTCTGAATACAAAGGTACTACAAGGAAACTACAGACCAATATCCGTTATGTATATTGATATAATTTTTTCAACAAATTACTAATATATGTAATTGAAGAGAATATTAAAAGAATTGTATACCATGATCAAGTGAGATTTATTACTGGAATGTCAACATAGTTTAAAATATAAAAATCATTAATACAATACATAACATAAAGAGAATGAAAGGGAAAACCCACATGATCCTTACAATTGAAGCAAAAAAAATCATTTGAAAAAATAATATACTCACCAGTCCCTGGCCAGATAGCTCAATGGAAGCGTCACCCCATACACCAAAAGGCTGCATCTTTGATTCCCACTCAGGGCACATACCTAGGTTGTGGGTTCAGTCCTTGGTCGGGATGTACATGGGAGGCAACTGATTCATGTTTCTGTCTCACATCAATGGTTCTCACTCTCTCTTGATTGTTTCCTCTCTCTAAAGTCAGTAAACATATCCTGGGGTAAGGATTAAAAAACAAATAAACACTCACCAAATTAGTAACGGTAGGAAACTATCTGAACATAATTAAGGCCATGCATGAAAACCCAAAGCTTTTATCATACTCAATGGCAAAAGCCTGAAAGAATTTACTCTAAGATCAGGAACAAAACAAAGGCACGCATTTTACTCACTTCTATTAAACATATTACTGGAAGTCTTAGCTAGAGCAATTATGCAAGAAAAATAAATTTCTCACTGATATTTGGTCCTGTTAAAAAACATCTGTGGAGACTTTTGGAGCATGGTTAATATAAATCCTGCTCTCCTGAAAGATTTGAAACCAGACCCATTTACCTGACCCCATTTTTCTTTGTCAGGTAGGCTACTGAAGCAAGAAAGTTATTATTGGAAATATCACCACAGCACAATTATTGGACCAATAAAACATGATAGTATTTTTTATGTATTAATTCTACAAAGCCAAAGCAGAAAAAAATGTGGACTATTTGAACCCAGGGACAGTTTCTAAGGTGGACATTTTGGACAGGACCAAATTTCAAGAACCTTTTGTCATGAACCATAAATCTTCATGGACATTTTGTACAGAAAAGAACATCCACCGACACTGTGGAAAATAGTATGGTGCGTCCTCAAAAAATTAAAAATAACAATAACATATGATTCAGCAATTTCACTTCTGGGTATTTATACAAAAAAACTAACTTGAAAAGGAAGATGCACTCCCATGTTTATTGCAGCATTATTAACAATAGCCAAGTTATAAAAGCAAACTAGAGAGGAAAAGATGGCAGTGGGCAGGACTGGAGTGAGGGTGAGTGTGTGAGAGTGTGAGAGAGCATGAGAGGGATTGTGAGTAAATATGAGTGTGGATGACCAACCTTCAGCAGTGCAGAGACATGGAGCATAAGGTTCCTGTGCTGTGGACGTAAAGCAGCCAGCTACCCTGGTAAGTGGCACATCAGCAAATTTTCCCCTGCATGGCCAGGAGGCCCCACCATTTTGGAAAATCCCAGGTCTTCCCTGAGAGGAGGAAATGGGGAGCAGCTAGGGCCAACTGACCTGAGTCCACTTGAGTACCTTGCACCATTCATTCAGTGGACTCAGCTGTATAAACACAGTGCACAGTAGCAATGCTATTGAGGTGCCTGCTGCAGTAGACGAAACTGGCTGGGAGCTGGAGCCCCACCTCCAACAGTAGTGGTGGCCACCCACACTCCAGGCACACAGCGGCTCAGTGGCCCGCCAAGGCTCCAGGACTGTGATAGAGCAGCAGCACGCCCAGGCTCATTGGAGCACTAGCACCAGCTTGGGAACTTGGCACCTTCCCCCACAGCAACAGTGACTGGGCGGGAGTAGAGCCCACCCCCAACAGGCATTAGCAGCTCACATTGGCAGTTGAATCATATCCCCAGCAGCATCAGCAAATGCTGATCAAGAGTGGTGCCCCAGCCCAAGCAGCTGGGCTAGGGAAGCTGAGACCTGCCCCTGACAACTGCAGCAGAAGAGTTGGGGTGGAGCCCCTTCCCCCAGCAGCAGCAAAGTCCCAGGTGTGGAGCATCCTCAGCCCTAAACGGCAGTAAAGGATTGGGACCTGAGAGTACCCCCTGGTGGCAGCAGCAGCAGTAGCAGTGATAACTGGGAGATGACACCCACAGCAGCAACTGATCAGGAGCTGAGTCCCACCAGGCAGCAGGATTTCCCAACAGGACCCCAGTGGGACCCACACACTCCAGCAACATACCAGAGGGACCCATGAACCCCAGCAGTGTGTCAGTGGAAGCCATGTACCCCAACAGAATACTAGCAGAGCCCCACACACCCCAGAAACATACCAGTGGGACCCACCACCCCAGCAGGGCACCAGATGGACCCACTCAACCCAGGCAGCAGGAGCACATATTGGCAGCTAAAACTCATTCCCAGCAGCATCAGCAGAAGCTGATCCAGAGTGGTGCCACAGCACAAGCAGCAGCAAGTCTCAGGGAGCCAAGATGTGCACAACAGACCAATACCAGCCACCAAGTGTCAACCCTGAAGGACCCAGAGCATGCAAGAGGAGGCATACACCAACACAAGCTGGGAAAAACAGCAGTTTTAGTTGATACACACTGACCTGCCTACACATTCCAGCATCAATCACTGGGCTTAGAACTACCAGATTGCTAAAATAGTGAGACAGAGAAACAACACCCAAATGAAAAAAAGAGGAATCACCAGAAAAGGACCTACAGGAACTAGAAGAAAGCAACTCGTCAGATAAAGAATTCCAAGCAAAGGGTGCTCAAAAAATTTGGTGAGAATTACAAGCAACTTAAGAATTATGAAGAACTCAGTGGGAACTACTTCAGCTTAAAAAAAGAGGTCAAAGCTATGCATAAAAATCAAGAGGAATCACTGGGTCAAATGGAAGTTCAATTTTTAATTATTTGAGGTAACACCATATTGTATTCCATAGTGGCTGCACCAGTCTGCATTCCCACCCGCAGTGCACTAGAGTCCCCTTTTCTCTACACCCTCCCCAACACTTGTTTAATGATTTGTTGATGGCGGCCATTCTGACAGGTGTGAGGTGATACCTTATAGTTGTTTTAATTTGCATCTCTCAGATGATTAGTGATGTTGAGCATTTCTTCATATGTCTCTTGGCCATTTGTATGTCCTGTTTGGAGAGGTGTCTATTCACCTCCACTGCCCATTTTTTAATTGGGTTCTTTGTCTTCCTTTTGTTGAGTTGTATGAGTACTCTATATATTTTAGAAAATAACCCCTTATCTGATGTATCATTGGCAATGATGTTCTCCCATACAGTGGGTTCTTTTTCCATGTTGATGGTTGTTTCTTTTGCTGTGCAGAAGCTTTTTAGTTTGATGTAGTCCCATGTGTTCATTTTCTTCTTTGTTTTTGTTGCTTTAGGTGATGTATCAGTGAAAATTCTGCTCCGTATGATGTCCAAAATTTTGTTGCCTACATTTTCTTCTAGAATTTTTATGGATTCCCGGGTCACATTTAAGTCTTTTATTCATTTTGAGTTTATTTTTGTGTATGGTGTAAGTTGATGGTCTAGTTTTATTTTTTGACCCAAAGAATATATGTACCCCCCATGTTCATAGCAGCACTATTTACAATAGCTAAGATCTGGAAACAGCCCAAGTGTCCATCAGTAGACGAATGGATAAAAAAGGTGTGCTACATATACACAATGGAGTACTATGCAGCTGTAAGAAGAAATATCTCTTATCCTTTGAGACGACATAGAGGGACCTGGAAAGTATTATCCTCAGTGAAACAAGCCAAGCAGAAAAGGACAAATACCACATGATCTCAGTTATATATGGAATATAATAAATATAACAGTCTGAGGAATAGGGTAGACCCAGAAACACGGAAGTAGGGTACAGCCTGACAATCCTCAGAAGAGGGGTGGTGGAGGGTGGGAAGAGATAAACCACAGAACTTATATGCATGTATGCATAACCAATGGACATGGACAACAAAGCCGGGATGGGGCGGGAGGGATGGGGAGGACGGTGTCAATGAGGTAATAAAGGAGAAACATCTGTAACAAAAATAATATTTAAAAAAAAGGAAAGAAATAAAGTAGATAATATATTTATCTTTAAAAAAAATCAAGAGGAAATAAAGAATGACATAGCTTATAAAAATACCTTGGAAGGGTTCAATAGTAGAGTAGAAGAAGCTGAAGACCGAATCAGCAACTTAGTAGACAAGATAAAAAAAAAACAAACAAAAAAAAAAAAAACACCCAAATAGAGCAGCAAATGGGAAAAAATTAAACTGCAGGAGGAGAGTTTAAGGGAGCTGTGGGATAATACAAAATGTAACAACATTTGCATGATAGGTGTACCAGAAGTAGAAGAGTCAGAGAAAGGAATAGAGAAACTTTTTGAAGAAATAATGACAGAAAACTTCTCTAAACTAGTGAAGTAAAAAATCACACAAGTCCTGGAAACACAGAGTCCCAAGCTAGACAAACATCAAAAGACCCACAGCTAGACACATCATAATAAACATTGCAAACATTAAAGATTAAGAAAGAATCTTAATGGAAGCAAGAGAGAGACAGCAAGTTACCTACAAGGGGGCTCCCATTAGACTGACAGCTGATTTCTCAATAAAAACACTGCAGGCCAGAAGGGAGTGGCATGAAGTGTACAAAGTAATGCAAGGCAAGGATCTGTTCAAGACTACTCTATCCAGCAAGGCTATCATTTCTAAATTGATGTTGAAATAAAAAGCTTCAGAGGTGAAAAAGAGCTAAAGGAATATACCACCACCAAACTAGCACTGCTAGAAATGCTGAAGGGACTGTTGTAAGAAGAAGAGACAGAGAAAGAGAGAGAGGGGAACACAGGCATAAAATAAAAATGGCAACTAATAATTATCTATCAATAATAACCTTAAATGTAAATGGCTTAAATGCCCTAATCAAAAGACATAGGGTAGCTGATTAGATAAGAAAACACCATCCATATATATGCTGTCTACAAGAGACCCACCTCACAACAAAAGACTCACACAGAATGAAACTGAAGGGATGGAAAATAATTTTCCAAGAAAATGGAAATGAAAAAACCTGGTGTAGCAATACTCATATCTGATAAGATAGACTCCAAAACAAGGGCCATAATAAGAGACAAAGAATGTCACTACATAATACTAAAGGATCAATCCAAGAGGATTGATATAATGCTGGTAAACATATACACACCAAATATGGGAGCACCAAAATATATTTAAAAACTTATGGATGACTTCAAGGGAGAGATCAATAGCAATACGATCATAGTGGGTGATTTTAACACCCCACTGACACCACCAGA